CGACAGTAAATTTTACGCACAAAAAAAATGAATATATTCGCGAAACTATGGGTAAATTTTTGTAAAATTGCGTACTTAGCTTTTCTCTCTGACGTCAGGATTTTTTTCAAAGGACTTTGAAATCTAAAAAATATGATTATTTCAAAAAATTAGGGCATCATATAAAAGAGAAAATTCTGTAGAATTATAACAGAATAAATTTTTGGTGCATATAGACGAATGGGTATGGAAAATGTCCTTCACAAATTTTTTGTGAAACTTTGCAATATTTTAATTTTTTTTTTAATTATTGTTTGAGGATTAATATACGCACGACCTTATCATCGATTTTCGTCCTGCAAACTTTGTTAACTTAAAAAGATAAAATTTATTAAAAGCACATTTTAAATACATATTCGTTCTCTTTCATTTTGTACCCATATTGTTATTCTACATTGCACTGATTTTTTTTTTTAATATTTTTTTGAATTATATAATCATATTTTTAAAATTTCAAAGTCCTTTGAAAAAAATCCTGGCGTCAGACTGAAAAACTAAAAACGCAGTTTTAATATATTTGGCCTATAGTTTCGTGAGTATATTGTTTTTTTCGTGTGTTTTGAATTTTGTTTTGCCTTTGTCGCACGGTGTAATATTAAAAAAAATGCGGTGTATCCGGTTTTTTCTTAATTTCAAAAATTGGGGCCTTTTTATTAAAAACTGCCACTTTTCGAATAATCGTTTTCGAAAAAAAATCAAATAACCGACCATCGAAGAGTACGCACATATCGCTTGCATTGCAGCCAGTGTCCCGAAAGCAATTTAAGTGAAAAATTATTTTTTAATGGAATTTAATATGAAAATGTTTGACGCACTGTAAAATAGATTTACCAGGTCCGGAGCCACACTTTTGAAGTCTTTTCCATTCGATCACGAAGGTATGCAGTCTTTCCCATAGGTGTAGCAGGCAATACCTTATTTGCAATGTTAAGAAGGCCTATAAAGCGATAAAAGTAAAGGAGATTCAAATATTCGGTGGTATTTTTTTGATTAGACCTTATTCCATTTAAGAGACCTTAGCCTTAAAGTCCTCAAGCATACATAATTTTGATATTGTGCTCATGAGTTTGTTCTAAATGCCCATATAAATCGACTTTCACATGCTGACGGCCACCGTAGCCTAGTGGTTAAAGAATTTTTTAAAAATTATTTTGTACTGAAAATAGGGCGACAAATTTAGATTAATCGATGAACTAGTTTTCGATAAATCATTCCCACTCATAATGCATCATCTTGCTAATCTGATGATTCTATCCCAATCGCTTTTGTTGTTTTAGCATTTTGCCAAATTTTTACTAGAACTACAGTAATTACAATACATATAGTACATATGTACGTATCCACCTGCCATTTCACTTGTTGCCACACAATTTTTATCAACGCATACAAACAAGTAATTCCACTGTCAACACACTGTCTCTACAAAAACGTTAAAAATTACTATATAGCAAATAATTGATTTTATAATCGCAAAAGTAAGTAAACGATATCGAAACTTGCTTATCAATCGAGCGATAAGGCTACACACGCACTTACATATTTATATATGTATGTGTGTAAAAAGCAAAGCTTACGGTGGTGTCACAGCTGTTTATATCATACACGTTTGAAGAAAGAGGTGTTCCGAGGATGCGCCAAGAAATATAGGGGAACTTATTTCAATGAAATAAATCGAGAGAACTTCATTTCACAAATTTTTTAAGTATTAAATCCAGTTTCTTAAGTATTTTGAATATTTCAACCTCCAACAATTCTAAGATTTATAAGAGTTCAACCGTAATCAGTATCTGAAAGGAATGTTCCTAGATGTCTAGGGTCATAGATTAAAATTTAATCATTAAATATTATGCTTTTGCC